AGCAAGGGAGATTTTAGGTCAAATATTAAGAAAAACGTTCTAACTCTAAGGGTAGTTAAGCTCTGGAATAGGCTTCCAAGGGAGGTTGTGAAATCCCTGTCACTGGAGGTTTTTAATAACACATTAGACAAATAACCTGTCAGGGATGGTCTAGGTTTCCTTGGGCCTGCCTCAGGGCAGCAGGGGCTGGACTAAATGAGCTCTCGAGGGCCCTTCCAGCCCCACGTTTCTATGATTCTGTCATGCCTTGGAGAGCTGAAGTCGCTTTGAGGTAGTAGTCAGCATGGATGCATCCTTGAGGCAGATGATAATGCTGGCGGTTTGGGATGAGCCACCAAGAGAAGCAGGCTAGCTGAGGGACTCTGACAAGGCCTCCCTACCTAGCAGCAAAGCCATAATTGCTTCAGCTGGGATAGATGGTGGCACTCCCAAAGCAGCTTAGGCCACGCTTTCCTTAAGGTCTGGAGATGGACCTGCCCAAGTTCTGGTCTCTACCAACCCTGGACAACAAACTGTGAGTGGGGAGCAGTGGTGGAGGGAAATGGCTAATGCTACAACCGCTTGCCTCATTAGCCACTCACAACCAGGAGAAGATGCTGTGGAGGATGGGAGTCTTATCTAATAGATATTGTTAATTGATAAATTGCTGGCTTTCCCCAGTTCATTCTGTGCCCCCCTCCTCCCACACTTTAGCCAGAGACATCCTGCTTCATAGACATAGGAACAGAAGACAGGAAGGGCCAAAATCCTACAGTGCCCAGCTTCCCCTCTGTCCCACAGCAAAACTTTTAGATAGAGGAGGCTGGGAACAAATCATCTTTGTTGTTAGCCTGCCTCGAGTTCAGTGTTTCCATAGAGTTCTCATTCATCTAGGTTCTCTCCCATGTCCTGGCCAAATTCCAGCTCGGGTAATTGCATTCTGCCTCCTTATAGCCCCCCTATAGCTTCAATTTGCTTTGCTTCCTGCTGCATCAAAATGTTGACTTTGATGCTGTATGTTATTAACCAGCTGTTACGTTTCACAACAGCGGTGGCTACTTTTCAGGGCTGCACCAAACCGTTCTTGGGGCTCTGTACCGTTTCAATTTGCAAATTGCCTTGGGATTCTTAAAGTTGAAAGGTGCTTGTAGTGGGGCAGCTTCCCTGCTCCTGGAGAACAGGGGTTAAAGGCAGCCAAGTTTGGCTGATTGGGGAAGCAGCCACAGGTGTGGCCAGCTCAATGAGGGCCCAGCTGGCCCTGATAAGAGAGCTGTGGACCAGGAGCTGAAGGAGTCTGTCTCCAGCCTGTGAGGGAGAAGGGCCAGCTGCCTGGGTGGAAGGTACCTGAGGTGGAGCAGTGCTGGGGAAGGGTAAAGGGAGCTGGGAAGCTCCAGCCTGGTCACCCCCCAGGCTGTAGGCCTTGTTGAAGGCCTATGAAAGGTACTGGGGCTACAGAGGTGCAACCTGGGGATAGGCAGAGGCAGCAGGTCCTAACCCCTTGCCAATGATGAGTGGTCTTTACAGACTGCCGTCTGCCCCAGGGGGCGGGGGCTAGATGGTGACTGGCAGTAGCCACTGAGGCAAGGTGGGGTTTAGAGGGTTGGGGGTTCCCCTGTGAGGAGAGACCCAGAGCGTCGAGTTACTGCTGGGGCAGAACCCTGAGGTAAAGGTCACTAGGGTGTGGGAGGGACATGGGGCCAGCGGCAGGCGAGACACTGGCCAGTAGGAGGTGCTCTGTATGCTGGAAAAGAGTTAATTCCCAGACGACCAGCAGGAGGCGCCACGCCCGTGAGTCATCGCTTCGCTACAGTGCTGCTATAATCTTAAATGAAATATCAAATGTAGCTGTAGTGCTACCCGTTCCCCAAGGCAGGCTGTATTCACTTCACTTCAAGTATTGCAGTAGCATGTTCCAAAGACCCTCTTGGAACATCTTACAAGCAGCCCTTAGAAATCCAGCTGCCTATTCTGAACCCTTTGCAAATGTGTGAAGTGCATATTTTTTCTGCTCTCCCATGGGTGCTAAATTGGCTATGGATTATTCTGCACCTTCAGATCCATGCAAAAAACACCCTTCATAAATGGGACAGCAGGTGTGCAAAGATAAGGAGACAGGTGATTCCATTCTACATCTGCTGGCTGAGGAGAGAGGCTCCATTATAATGAGCATAATAAGAGTAAATAAATCCAAGAGCTCGTGAGTTCAGTACATCTGTTCTGAAGGAGGTTAGGAGGTCAGGCTGCTGCATATTTCCCACTGGTAGCTGAATCTCCTGACCTGTAACTCTAAGGAGCTCTTACATCATTCATTAATTTGTTCCATGCTGCTCTCTGTTTCCCATCCATTTCCCTTATGAAAAGAGGAGGCAGAATTTACCAGCAGAGAGCTGGCTAAGGCCCTGTCTCTGTTACCAGCAGGGGAAGGTTGACCGAGACAGGTGTGGCTGGCGTTATCCTTGCTGCCTTTGTGAGGCATTCCCACTTCATACCCCTTCACAAGATCCTGCTCTCTGGTGCCTAAAGCAGGACACATTGGACAGAGGAAATACATCAGAATGCAGTGCATCCACTTCCTCATTGTAAATCTGGGGAATTTTAGCATCTGGATTCTGACAAGTTATTGGCCAATACAAATAGTTCCATGACTCAGCTCAGACTTTGGGGTGGAGGTGGAGAAAGGGGGAGCAGGGTTCTCTGCCTCTAGGCTAAATATGTCCCTGGGTGTAACTCTGCTGAAGATATTGCTCTAACCACTAGGTCATGTGCCCTACCATAGCAGCTCCAGGTTCTCTGCCCTCACTGGAGGTGGTAGGGTTGCACCTGAAATGCACTGGTCCCTCTCTCTACATCCCATGGTCCCACCTATCCTGCCTGAAGTTTGGCTGATCCTTTTTTCCTTTTCAAGCCCTGAGCTCCGGCTGCTCCACACCGTTTCCTGAGGAGGAAAGAATAGCTCATTTGCCAGAGCCCATTTGACAGAACCCCACATGGTTCTGCCTGTTCCTCACCATGGCACACACGCAGTGTCGAAGCTAGTGACCAAAAAGTGTGTATTGTCACATGCAGTGCCAAGCATTAGCCCTCCACATTCACTTGCATGTGATTGACCAGGACCTCCAAACCCATAGCACAGCTCAGTGGGTGCAGTGCAGCGAAGGAAGGCAGGTGGCATCCTTGATGTACCCTCCATACAGTCAAAGGGCAGCGTGAAAGGAAAAAAATTGGCCTTCAAACTTTTTAAGAGGGGAAGCTTTGGATTTCCTGTCCCCATTGACTTGCATGAACTGCCCTTGATTTACAATGGGGATATGTCTTCACTGCAGAGTTAGCCCAGCCGGCTAGCACCTGGGTCTGAGCACCTGGCTTAGCCTAGCCCAGATGTGAGTGTCCCCACTGCAAACCCTTCTCTGTGTTAGTGTGTCTGCACTCCTGTGGGTGTCTGAGGGATGTCCCATCGTTCTTTCTGTTGAGGTGCTTGAGGATTCTTTCCCTATCAGTTATGGGAGACCTCATCTGCCCTTCGGGGGGATCTGTGGGAAGGCAGTGGAGGGCCATCAGGTTTGGCCTGCATCCTCACTAGACAGGCCATTCATCCAATTTTAAGCCGGATAGTCCTGTTTTTCTATGGTTTGTCCCTGTCGGTACTGAGACAAAACTGGAAGATGCCATTTTGAAGAGTGCGCCACTCTGCCCCTGCTGGCGTGATTTCACATGCACCGCGCGTGTGAGGTCAGGCTGTTGGGGTCATGCAGGCGGTGGCGGGCTGGTGCTGTTCCCAAAGTACCAGAATGCCCACTGTTCAGAGGATGCATCAGTGGCCGCCCCAATCCTTGCTGCAAAGTGGGCAGGTTCCAGCCCGACGGGAAGGGGGGCCCAGGTTCTAACCCTCCCCCTCGCCCCCAGCTGGGTCAGCTAGCCTGGGTTGAAAGAATCTCCAAACAGGTCAAAGGACAATAGAGGGGTTTGGACCAACACCCAGGTAAGAGCCTGGATTACTTGTGCAGTGCAGATCTACCCTAAGTCTGCATTTGTCCCAGTGTGTTCTAGGCCAGGTTCTGTTCCCATTTCCACCTGCACGGGCCTCATTGACTCATTGTGAGGACACCCTTGGTGTCTTGGTGGGTGTGTCTAGGGGGCACCGTCTGGCTCAGTGGGGTGTCTGCACTGCAGATTCATGCCCTGGGTGAACATCTTTAATCAGATTAGTCTGCTGAGGTGTATTCTGCTACCTAAAGTCCGGGTGGGGCAAAGGGGAGAACTGGCCCTACTGACTCCCTCAGGGAATAAATAACAAGGGTGGCTGGTATGTGATTGTGGTAGCTGCAGACCTGTCTGAGCTGGAGTCTTCTAGGCTCTGTTCGAAAGCCCATTGCAAGACTCCCTTTGACTTCAATGGGCTTTAGATCGGCCCATGGCGATGTTCTGACACAAAGGTTCAAAGGAAAAACCTTCCCTGAAGCAGCTTTAATCGTTCAGTACCTGAGCCAGGTCTTCATAATGCCACCCGACAGGGGAGAGAATACACTAGTCATTAATCATGGCCAAGTTCCGGGCATAGCCAGCTGGTGAAGACAGCAAATCGCTCAGCTAATATTTAAAAGGGAAGTGACTTTGAGCTTATTTTGATACCAGGAACATTTTGTGCTCAGAGATGGATCCTTCCCCCACTCCTGGCTGTTTGATCTATTCAGTGGTTTTTACTCCACATTGCGTTTCTTTTTCTTTCCACCTCTCTGGTGGCTCTTAATGAAGTTAAAATGGGTTCTATTAATCCTTTGCCTGCGATCCCTTCTGGTTTTTAAGTAACGTTCAGCCCCCGCATGTTTTCACAATCCTAAACCTGTGGAGTTATTCTATTTCCATTAAAGGCAGAAATCAGTGTACCTGACGCAGAATTTGAGAGGCATATATACTCCTTGCAAGAGAGTGCTTTTTACAAAACACCACCTCTCTTCTCCCCCAGGGCAACTTTCAGAAGGTCCCAGGAGGGCTACATTTGAAAGAACTTCTGTTTCTTTTTCATCACAAGTTTATTTGCTCAAAGCCGGGAAGGGGCAGTGGAAGGTGCACGTTGAGAAGACACAGAGCGGCCGCTATTGGCGCCTAAAGATGGTTTTGTAAATCCATTTCTGAAAGTTGGCTACTGCGGTGTAAACACCTGGGTACCTGGGACTAGCACAGCTGTTCCCCCAGGACACAATCCCAAACACTCGGCCCTCGCACACCAATGGCCCGCCAGAGTCCCCCTAGAAAAGAAGCAGACACAATAAAGGTTGTGGTTTTCTAAAATGGTTTGGGGGTGACCTTTCCATCATAGTAATAAACACCTTTCTTGTCTAGGAACAGGAGGACCAAGAACGCTCTGGGGCAGATTCTCCATAGCCCTGTACTATAGGTAGGCATTTCACCAGTGCAAAGTATGCACAAAATGCTACTGAGTCAGAATAGTGACAGCCTCTTTGCACTGGTGAAAGGTGCATGGTAATGAGGAATCAGGCTCCTAGATTACAGTCCATATATTTCTGTGCCTGAAGCCCAGAAGACTTAGGCAGCCTGGAGGGAAATCAGAGATGGATTCTCTGCTGGATTCTCTATGCCATTGATGTCAAAGTTTTGCCTCTTTACACCAGCAAAGAATTTGGCCCCATGAATTTAACTTAACGCATTTCCCACCCAGTCCTGACAGTCCCGTTCAATGGAAATTGCACCTGACCTTTTCCCAGGGCAGCACCCTTGCCAACCGATGGAAGAGTTTTCTTACAGGACGCTAGAGAGACCCATCAAAACTGGGACTGTCCTGCCCTCTCAGAGACAACGCCGGAATCCCAGAGAGATTTAGTCCAGCCCTTGGGGACAGTCTGCACCATTGTGCCTTCCTAGGTGTGCTGCAGCAGCATCATGCAATGACCTGGCATCACGACACAAGAACATGACATCACGCCGCATTGGCGACATGATGACTAGGTCCTGCCAGACACATTAAAACAGACAACAGCTGTAATGTATCTTGGAAGGGACGCCTTCGACCCCATTGTACTTCCTTGCTATTGTCTTACCCAGGAAGAATTTAAAAAAAGCTAGCTCATTTCTAGCTGGCCATTTTGTTCTTGCTATAAAAATAGATCCGCCTTCTCCACCCACCCTCTGTGCTTCAATTCCGAGCGTGAGTCATCTCCAGTTAGGAGCTGTGTGATCAAGGCTTTAACTCTATGGGAACTTGAGAACAAGGCAGTGCGGAGGACAGTTGACTGCTGTGTCTCTATGCAAGCATTTTTCTCCAGATCCCCTCCCATGACGCTGTCCACTGGCCGCAGTAATGGTGGTCAAGATTTTCAAAAGGGACTGGTGGTTTTGGGTGCCCCATGTGGTCCCCTGAGAAGAGCCTGATTTTTCTCCCAGAACATACATCCTCAGGAAACCAGGTTCTTTTAAAGGTGTACTGGGCACCCAACATTTGAGAGCCCCCAAACTCACTCGTCACTATTGGCTTGTGTCTTCCAAGTCTGTCTAGAAAAGTACTAGTTTCCTGTCAGATGTGGAGGAGGCAGGAGATGCTTTTTAACGGATGGACTCTTTTTTATGGGACCCAGCGGGTCTAAAGACCCATCTGCCACCGAGTGCCTCGCCGTTCAGGATGGTTCTCGGCAGCTTGGGTATAGCTGGCATGCTAGCGGGACGCGCTCTCCCCAGAGGAGAGGTTTGAACTTGCAGCTTCTTCTGCAGAATTAAGGAGGGCGGCTGTACCTGGCAGGCATCTTTGCCCCCTGTGTTGAACCCGGCACAGATCATGTTCTTGGTGATGTATCCCGCATAGGAGGCTGTGCTGTTACACTTCCCAGAAGAGATGATAGGCAGGCGCACGCTGCGTAGGGTGTCCGAAGCCATTCCACCCATGGGAGTGGTGTAACCCCAGCCAGAGACTTGGCAGAAGCGGCCTTCCCTCACCACCGCTCCTTGCTGGGGGAGTGGCACAATGGAAACAAAAGCGTTATGCACCAGCGGCCTGTTCAGCTGTTCGGAGACACCAAGGGGAGAGTCGTTACTGAATGTACCGAAACAGAGAGGCAGGAACAGGTGATCGTGGGCATAGGGCTGTGTGTATGGTGACAGGCGAACCTCACGCAACTCACAGCTTAGGTTCCACTCACGTTTGGAATGCTTCTCTGAACCAGCCAGACTGCGTCAGCTGCAAAATCCAATCCAGATCCAGGGTTTTGGTTTGGCCCATCGTGGAAACGGGACCTGGCTGCAAAACTTGGATCTGGATTCAGTTTCCAATCTTTTCCTTAAAGCCATGGGGTGTTTGGATCCACTGTTTTGGTCTAAGAATTCACCCTTATGGAAAGTCCTATAGAATGTAAAAGACAATGAGACCTTTTCTATAAGATTCTTTGAATCCTCCTATAGAATCTAGAAGAGAATTATATCCTGGCTATAGAATTCTATAGGATGGGTCAAAATTCCTATAGAAAGGATCTCATTCTCTATTAAATTATCTTGGTATTAGGACTAATTTCTATAGGAGCCTATTTATTATAATTCTACAGGACCCTCTTGGTTTCATCTCTAGTAAATTCTATAGGCTTCCCGTAAAGGTGCTGTGCACCTGTAAAAATGGTATCCTCCACTCCTCAACTTTAAGGGAGGATCTGTTGGCTTGTTCAGGCCCTTTCTGTTAGCAAAACAGAGCTGCACAGGGAAGAGTACTGAACTAAACATTTTCAAACCCTCAGAAAGGTTCGATTTGAGTTCTGGGTGAAGGTGGAGGTCATAGATTTATAGAGTTTAAGGCCACAAGGAACCATTAGAACATCTATTATGATCTCTTGTATATCACAGGCCATTCAGTTTCACCCAGTTACCCCTGTATTGAGCCCAGTAACTTGTTTGGCTAAAGCATCTTCCAGAAAGGCAGCCAGTTGGGCTCTGAAGCCATCAAAAGATGGATGGAGAATCCATGACTTCTCTTGGCAGTTTGTTCCAAGGATTAATCCTCCCCAGTGTGAAGAATGTGGGCCTTAGTTCCAATTTGAATTTGTCTGGATTCAGCTTCCGGCCATTGGTTCTTTTTATGCCTCTCTCTGCTGGATTAAAGATCATTTTAACACTGGTATTTTCTCCCCAGGAAGATACTTATATACTGTAATCAAGCCATCTCTCAAGTTCTGATACACGAAACAGACCGATCCCTTTAAGTCTCCCACTGGAAGGCATTTTTTCCCCCAGCCCTCAAATCATTATTGTGACTCTTTTACTCCACCCTCTCCAATTTTTCAACATCCTTTTGTAAATATGGACACCAGACCTGGATGCTGTATTCCAAGATTGCTCTCACTAATGTCATGTACAAATGTCAATTCCCCTCCCTCCTCCTACTCAGTACTCCCGGGGTTATGCATCCGAGGATGGCATTGGCCGTTTTCGTCACGGCATCACACTGGGAGCGCAGGTTGAATTGCTTGTCCACTGTGACCCCTAAGTCCTTTACAGAGTCAATTCTTCAGGCTATATCAAGTCATCCACCCCTGTGCTGTCTGTTTGAGCACTATAGCAGCAGACTACAGTACCGTTTGCTATTGTATTGTGATGACACTATAGTTTCTAGTGCTTTGAGTATGATTTACCAAGGTGTGTGTGTACGTGCACATGCACTGTCTGCAGCCGGGCCACGCGCCGAGAGCACAAGCGAAGGGCTATGTTCATTTGCACACACTCCCCGTTGCTCACGGCAGGAGTCTGCAATCTAGGTTTTCAGTCTCTCTGAATGGTTCATACTGGGGCTTTGGAAATATTTAATTTTAGGGAAATAAGAGCCAGGCTACCAGGGGCCCTTAGGAGAGAACTGAACGGCATCACTATGTCCACAGCAGCCTCTCAACTGCTTCTGCTTCAATCAATAGAAGCCCCCTCCAGCTCTGCACTGTACATTCCCTTGGGGGGAAGTCTAGCAGACGCGGTGCCTGGAGCCTTGGACTGCATCACTTTAATGATTATTTAAACTTGAGTACATTCTTATTAATACACAGTGCACTTTGCAAACCTAGTTGAATGTATGAATGCCGTTTAAGTGAAAACGATACCGGCTTAGCCTGAAACGTTCATTCGTTAAAGGCAATCCTCCCTGGGAATTTCATTTAGCTCCTCGTTCGGTTTCCTCTCCTGGCTTGGACTTTTCACTGCTTCCTTTTGAAGCTGTTGGATTACTAAAGGGACAGGCAATCTTAATGAGTCCCTGTTCTGTCAGGTAATAGACTCCTTTGCCTTACAGAATATTTTGAACAGCAAATGCTCTTTCAGCAAGGGATTGCCGCCTGGGAAAAGGTCTCCAGAGAAACCATTCTGCAAGCACCTAGCGTTTGCCTAGAAGACTAGATCTAGTGAATTTGCAGCTTGTCCTCTGCATGGGGATTTGGTGGGATTTCTTTCAGTGGCTGGGCTTGGATTCCCTCACGTCTTTGAGCTCTTTTTTGCCCGTCGCCCTATGGACTGATTTACGTTCGTCAGCTCTTGGTTTTTGTAATACAACATCTGTCGCCGTGTATTCAGTCATTTTGTCCCTGCCTTTAAATGATTCATTAACGCCGCTCCAACTCCTTCTCCTGAGCAAACGCTGAACCTCATTGTCCCATGAATGCTTAGTGCGCTTATAAAGACCTGGTTCTAAAACCAAAACACAAGTGAAAAGCTCGCCCAGGATGTGTATATGCAATAGTGACGCGTGCCCATTCACCCACTCACATGAATGCTTCTGCACAGGCAGCCATGGTGTAGGTGTACAGAACTAGAAGCGGGCATGATTATATTCCGCTCCAATGGCTAAGATGTGTTTGCATCACCGTTTAAACCTGAGGCACAAGCAGGAAGACTTTGGAGCTAAACTGGCTTTCACCCATGAGGCTACTCCGCAGAATCCTTTTAGATTGTTTTTTGCAGGGATGGGAGGGCAGGTTGGCCCTGATTCTGTGCATAAGCCACTCCATATCCTTTTGGGATGCTTTTCCACTTAGCCTGCTCGATCCCTTACCAAGGAGGGGTAGGGAATTGACAATGACAGAAAGACTGGAACTCAGGAAGTGTATCTCCAGCCTGTGCCTAGACACCACAGAGGTTAGTACTCTTCACTAAGGTAAAGAGACCCTGTGAGATCTGAAATGTACAATGATCAGTAACTAATAATAATACCTAGCACTTATATAGGAGGTAAGTATCACTTTACAGATGGGGAAACTGAGGCACAGAGCAGGGAAGTGACTTGCCCAAGGGCATGCAGCAGAGCCAGGAACAGAACCCAGTTCTCCTGAGTCCCAGTCCTGTGCACTCTCCCCTAGGGCATATTGACTTCCGGGGTAGAAAAGCATCAGAAAGCAACAATCGCAGGGAAGAATGCACACCCCTCATGTGACAAAATGTCCCCTCGCCAGCTGGTTTGCAGGTAGATGCTGCTAGAGCCCCACTGTTGGGGGAGTTGGGAAGAGCAGGCACGTGTGTCCTGATTACTAGTTACTAGCCTCGTTAATCACACATTGCATTTCTTTCAGAACTCCGGGCCCACCTCCCTCACTGGGAGTAGTAGCCCTAGTTGTGTCAAGGAGGAGTAAGGCAATATTCCTGGGGAATAGGGGCAGTGCAGTCTAGGCCTCTGGGATCTCTACACTGGAGCAGGACAGGGTCTGCAGTAGCAATGGAATAGGTAGGGCTGGGAAGGCCATTCCACTCCAATCTCCTATTTCCAATTGCTAGTAACGTTGTCAACAATGTTCTTTTTGGGGAGGACACTTGGCAGGGATTGGTTAGTTTGTTTGATTTCTTTCCAGGTGTGAGAGAAGGGAGATGAAGGTGCTCTGCACCTCCCATGATCAGACCCTATGTTTATATCAGAAGCCATGCGGATGGGGCGACGGGACTTGTACCCCAATTTGGGTTCTCTTCCTGGCTCTGCCGCTGGCCTGCTGAGTGACCTTGAATGAGTCACATCGCTCTGTGCCTCAGTTTCCCCTTCTGTAAAAAGGGGGTGATGATTCCTCTCTCCTTGTGTAAAGTGCTTTGAGATCTACAGGTACAGGATGCATATAAGAGCTAGGTATTTGTTGTTATTAGGGGTCATTTGTGGTTTGTTCCTCTTCACCTTGACCTCCTGCACATTGTTCCAGCCCTGCCTTTATTTCCCCTACCAAATGCTTCATGTGTGCTCAGCAACATGTACTCCGTTGTGAACAGCCAAAACAATCTGTAGTGCCCCCCTCCCTCTCCAACAGCCGTCCTCCCTTTCATGGCCTGGCGAAAGCTGGTTACCTTAATCAGCATGATGTCTGCATTTTTGGAAGCGGAGCTGTAGTCCGGATGAACCACCATCCGAGAGGGCCGGAAGATCTGCTCTGTGCCTTCAAAAGTGGAGAGAGAATATTCCCCAGCGACAATCATCATCTGGTTAATTCTGTTGGGAGACAGCAGAGGGCCTGGTCACCGGTGCATCACTGCTGGGGAAAAATGTCTCTGCCCAGGTCTGACTTCAAATGCAGTCACTCAAAGGACTCAAAACATTTCACAAGGCTTGCAGCACTCCCAGCACTTCCCCTGTGAGATCTTGTGCACCGGCGTTTGAATTCACGTGGAGTCATCACTGAAGTGATGGAGGGACGTGTGCGTGTTTGCCTACTGCGTAGATCTGGACGTACGACTGCTTGGAGGTACACGTGACTGTGGGGGCGGGCGGCACTGTGGGGAGGTGGGTAATAAATAGCAGCATTTCCATTTTGCAGATGAGTAAACCAAGCAATGAAGTGAGAGACGTAATGACAGTGATTCAGTGGGAGAGCCGGAAATCCAGGCCTTTGCTCGGATCACTAGAGAATCCTCCTTCCCAACCTCTGTGTTAGAATTCCACTGTCCAATGTTTCTCCAGAGAGAGGATAAAGAGCTTCTCCAAAGCATCAATATTACGAAATGTCATTGACTAGGAACGGGCAAACTGGTTGGGCTAAAAGAAAAACTGACCGAAATTGTGCCCCAAAGTTTGGCTGCACCAGCAACGAGATGGGAAAAATTCTGGTGAGCTGCCTTTTGCTGCTGCTCTTGTGATGACCCCCCCAGGAAGAAATGCCACCGGCCCCCCTCCGCCCCCCAAGAAGGCTGTTCTTTCTGACCTTACATCTTAAACACAACCAGGAAATCCTGGCAATTCTAGGGCCCCAATTCAGCTATTCAGCAAAGCATGTGTTAACTTTAAGCATGTGTTTAAGATTTAATGGGGCCCCGAGACCCAAGATAGATTGGCACTGGCTCAAGGTCACATGGGCAGTCTGGAGCTGAGCTGGGAATTGACCTTAATAGAGCTTAAGCACATGTTCAAAACACCTTGCTGAATTGGGACCCTAGTGAGACAGCCTGGAAAAGTTTCTGGCCCTTGTTGGTCAGACCCAAAAGGCTCGGATAGTTAAGAGAAGAAGCCAGACTGTTGTGTCCTTATATAAACCAAACCTTCCTGCCTTTGAAAAGTCATCCCCCGTTACAACTCACTAGTCTGTGGGCGTAGGAGCTCTAGGCATGTGAGCCGGTGGGGCCTGTGCGTAGATACGTCCCAGATCAAGGCCCCAGCTTTCAACCTGAACACTTAAACTTAGGCACGGAAATTCCTATATAGACACCGAAATGGGAACGTAGACGCCCAAGTTTGTAAACTGAGCTGGGAACGTGTGTGTAACTATGTACACGACTCCATGGAACTGTGATGTTTGATGGGACTCCAGTACTCTATGCTCTAGCAAACCTCTATACTCTGTTGTGAGGGGAGGCTGGTCTCTTGTCTGATTCCCAGATGTCTGAAGCCCCCTGAGTCCCCTGGCATTCCTTACTCAGTTTTGCAGTGAGCAGCCGTCAGGACCCAGCTTCGGCTGACCAGCGACCCGCCACAGAAATGGAAGCCCGTCTTCCTCTTCAGGGACACCAGGTACTTGGAGGAATGTGGCGCCACTATGTAACCCCCGATGATGCGCTGGAGGCTGTTCTGGCCATCTGCAGAGCAAAGGCAGAGCTGTCAGGAGGAGACAACTGGCAAACCCAGCCGCTGTGTCATGCATGAACTGTGGCTATCTCTCATCCCAAAGACACTGGGGCACTCTGCATCTGCACAGATCCCAGTATCACTGCATGCAGCTGGACAGACCCAAGGGTCATTCGATGTAGGCCTTATATTGAGGAAATAGGAGCTCTGAAACCAAATAACCTTCCAGGACCTTTGAATTTTAATCATGACACCATGAGTTGCTGTGACAGCTAGGGCTGTGCAGGGGGAGATAAATGGGACTACAGAAGACGCTACACACCAAAGAGGCACTTTAAATCACAGACAAGGTGCCAACTCCCTCCCTATAGGCTCGTGTAGCTGCCATTAGCATCAGTAGGAGTTCGACATCAGTGCTAAGGGGATGGATAAATCCCTCGGGAGGGATTCTAATTGATCTACCACTCTATTATCGTCCTCTCGCTGCCATTAGCAAGACGAGAGTCCATCTATTATTCACGCAGCTACAGGCCTTGATTTCTCCAGAGGCGACAGAGCGATGATAAATATACCACCCAGTTGGTTTTTAATTGGAATTTTACTCAATCTGAATCCAGTTTAACGCTCACCAGAGTGAGGGGCTAATTGTACTAGCCGCGTTTATCCCACCTGGCACCCCAGCTCTGATCTGACTCGTTATCCCAGTCTCCAGCACAGCTCTACTAATGCACATCCATTAGGCCCTGGGCCTACCCTTGCTCTTCCAGTCCTGGGCCTCGCTCTCAGCCAGGGGCCGTTAACTGGTTGTGTCATGTGAGCAACCGGGCTCTGGGATAAGTCTGTCAAACTCAGGTCTGATCTCGAGCAAACAAATGGACTGGTGCCAAAAGGAGAATGCCAGAGCTCTGATCTAGTCCCCTCCAAGCTAGATGGTTCATTTGCATCTTGTTAGATGCTGAGTTTCATGGCACAGAGCAAGGTTTCTTGTAACACGTCTGCTCCGTTCCTCTAATTAGCAGCCGATGCGCTGTTTTCTTTTAAGAACGGTGTAAGGGCTTTGACCTGCTGTGTATGCAGAGCACCTGTAAACTATTGAAACGGATCTTTAATGGCCCACAGCTGGGCAGATTGTTACCAGTACTAGTGAAAATTCAGGAACAGTATGGTTAATGCACCATCATTTATTTGAGAAAGAATCACACAAGCAGTAAAGGTTATGTAATACACATCTTCCTAACAAGCTTCAATTCCCCAAGTATAAACCCTCAGTAACTATGTTGGCCTTACGTAGTATCCTGATTGGCAAACAAAGCAGGTATAGCTACCGTCCTAGATGGAGAGTTCTTTTCTTCTCCCCTCTCAGGTACTTGGTCTGTCAAATGTCCCTCAAAGCAGGATCTTGGTTACCCCAAGGCCTTCTGTCTTACAGCGTCACGGACCTCTTCAGATGTTAATTGGGGAAAAAACTAACTAATTTACTTTGCTTAACATTTATACCTTTTGTTCTCAAAGGAGTCACATGTCCCAAAAATATGCCCTGTGAGTGTTTTATTACTGGTTTTCTCTAATTAATATTTTAGAAGGGGGCTACAAAACAGGCAAAGACCAAAGCTCAATCAACGTTTACCCCCCTCATCAATCACTCACTTGAGCTCCTGGTGCGGTGTCCTCCAAAAGGGATTATTTTCACCTGGGTCAACCTGTACCAAGCTCACCGATGGCATGTTTTTGCGTTTTCTTTACTTTGTGAGCTGGTCAATCAGCCGACATGTTTCAAAGTTTGTTTACACTACCGCGGTAAGTCGACCTACGCTACACAACTCCAGCTATGTGAATAACGTAGTTGGAGTTGACGTACCTTAGGTCAAGTTACCGCGGGGTCTACACCGCGGGGGGTTGACAGGAGAAAATCTCCTGTTGACTTACCTTACTCTTCTCGTTCCGGGGAGAGAACAGGGATCGACTGAAGAGCGATCTGCAGTTGATTTGGCGGGTTTTTACTAGAACCGCTAAATCGACTGCCAGTGGATCGATCTCAGAGCGTCGATCCCTGCCATAGAGTAGACTTGCCCAAAGTCTCATGTTGAGACACATGCACAGATGGAGCCTCAATTAGCCATTCAAGTGCAATTTCAGCCCTCTCAGTAAATTTCCATACCGACTGTCTGATGCTAAGAGAATCCTGCTCCCAGAATCCTCTAGCCAATTCCGACATCTCATACCATACCAACTTTATGCTTACTACAGTCATTCATATCAATCACAACAATTCATAATAATTTGGCACCATCCCAACATAAACTGTACTGGCTTTTTACATCACTAAACAGGGTGCTGTGTTGTCAGAGTTATCGGCACATTAGCCTCACTGGGTTAGCGATTGTCCAGTAGCCATCATGCTCTGCTAGAGCATCGGTGACGTACAGATGAATCTAAGTGATGGAAACACTGACCAGGCCAGGAGGCTTGGTTGCATCACTGCAGTTGTGACTCTTTTGAACAGGTTGGACAATAACGAGCAATGACAATAGAGATCTCTGTCGAGGCAATGGTACCAACACAGACTGGATGCTAAAAGGTGATCCCATCAAAGCCAATGTGATCTGGTAGGTCAGAGTAGCGCTTGCCACATGGAAGTGATGGAGGAACAAATCACGGTGCTTGGTCCGCTCAGTGCAGTGTCTACCAGAGCGACGTACTGAGAAATGACTGCCCACCAAAGAAGCCGGTACACTTTGTTGGGCGAGTGTAGACTCTGGGCCCTGGTGGCTGGGGCACAGGCTGAAGAAGCTCTGATCTAACCTGGGACACCAGGAAGCACTGGCCCAGAAGGTGGTGTGAAGAATCTGCTGTTTAATGACTAATTTACCTAACCTTTCCAAAGAGGTAACAGCGTCCTGACTCACTTTTACTTGGCCCTTTGTCAAAGAACACCAGCACTTAGCTACATAACAATAATAGAATAATTACTTGACGCCTCCTTTGATTTAGGCTGCGAGTTGGTCACCTGTGTAAGAAAGCAGTTAGGGAGCTGCGAGAAGAACCCATTATTTTGGGTGCTCCAGGGCAAGATTCTGAGGTCTCTATTTGGTTTACACTCAGGGCTCCTTACTGCAAAGCACCAAGTGCTTCTGGGAAGTGCCGAGTGCCCACAACTCCCAGTGAAGTCAATGGGAGCTGAAGGCTCTCAGAAGCCATCAGCTCATGCCGAGATCGGGCTCTTATTCCTTACTCTGGAAACTTCCTTCTGAAGTCCATAAGAGTTTGTCCTGGGTAAGGACTCAGGAAAAGCTTCAGGTTTGGGCCCTTTCCTAACATCCCAAAATTCCTCCCAAGAGTCCCCTGAGCTGAGGCATTGCCCTGTGTTTCTTCTGGTGGTGCAGTCCGTTTCCAGGGCATCTGATAGGAATGTACGTGCTTTTGAGGCGTTATTTTCAGAGAATGTTGAAGTGTGTTAGATTTGTGTGAAGACTCTTCCTGTCGAATTACACCGTTCTTCCAAAAGGTCTCCCTGTCGGTGGCCTCTTTGTCTAGAACAATTTTGCTCAATTGTGGTATAATTTAGGAAGCAAACTTTCCTTGCTAATAGTTTTACTAAACAGATACTGAATGATGAACATTTTGGGCACGTTTCCTCCTTTTTACTTTGTACAGCTCCTTTCAGAGAATCTCCAACCATGTTACAATAATCAATTACGCCTCATAATGCCCTTAAAAATATTATCCCTCTTTTACAGAGGGTTAGGCTGAGAGGTTGAGTGACCTGTGTGAGGACAAATGGTATTTCTATGGCAGAGCTAGGAATATAACCTAGGAGTCCTGACATCCAGTCCACTGCTCTGACTACTAGACCTCATTCTCCTCTCAATATCTGCAAATGGTCCAGGCTGGAATCTCACAGTCCAATGCCTTGTTTCTCTGGAGACTTAATGAACTTGTCACGATGCAAATATTACAGAATGTTGACAGTGGGCCAGTTTCACCTGAAATGTTGGTCCACTGAAGATACTCTGGATCTAATTGACCCTTGGTGTATCTATATAGATAGACAGAAGATAACACACACAAGTAAATGTCCAGGTTTTCTATCAATCTGATGATTTAAACAAATAACGTTATTAGTTCTGTAAAAAACAAACAAACAAACAACCTATGAAGAATGTTGAATGTGAATCAGATAAAAATAAACCTGGGAACAAAATATCGGACTTAGAGAGGGGGGAAAAAACCATGGTGCATTTCTGGATATGAAGAGCTATAAACTGTGGTAGGGACTCAGGGCGGTGTAATTTGACAGGAAGTGTATTTACACAAATCACACACACTTCAACATTCTCTCTGTTACAGATGCACATTCAGCAATCTAAAGACTTAGTAGGATTTCTAGACATGAAAGGCCATCTGAAGCTAGATATGCATATGAAATACTCACCGATCAAAGAAAAGAACTGCAGGGACAGCAGAAGACTCCGTGCCAGATAATTCATCTCAGAGTCAATGTAAGATCTTATAAGCACCTGCCAAAGATAGCTCCAGCTCTTAACTGCTGAAGGGAGAGAGAGACCCAAAGAAACTTCACTTCATACCTAGATAGCCTGGTTCCTCTTTCAGTTTCCATGACAACGTGAATCCCAAAGAGAACAATCAATTATTCATGGAGGCACTTCAGGACACTGGTGGCTGATTGACTAGAGTTAACCTTGTGTTCTCATCTTCCTCCCCTCAGCATCCAGCTGAAAGGGCCATAGCCTTTACCGCTCACAAACGCTGAATGGAGCTTCTTGGGTTTCCTGGCAGTGAAGTGACACTGATTTCAACAAACCATCCCTTGGCAGACAGGGGAAGGCATTTCTTGAAGGGTCTCCATCTCCGGCTTCCCTTCACGTGGCACTGCAAATTAAAGCAGAGATCCACTCACCTGAGCTGTCGGAGCTGGAGCGGTAGCAGCCCAGAAGCGATGCGGACAAGCTGCTCATCAGTGCTGGGCAAAAAGCCTGAAACAGGGTCAAACGGGCCTCATTGGGGAAATTGGTGGCAAACTCAGGCCTGGATTCACCATTGCCCTGCAGCTTGTGGTGTCGTCATTTACACCAGTGAAAGAGAGTGCTGACCTGATGATGTTTGACCCCCACAATGACGGCATATGGTGTAGGCTATGGGGAATCAGGCCACCAGAGGTGCAAGGGGCTTGCTGGGGACAATGAACCTTTCAGGTGGATCATGGGCCCAGTATGGTGCAACCTGTTCCCCTGGTTTTGCCAGATGTAATGTGGAGGGTTCACTATGAATTTTGGGGTCCTATTAGTTCCTCCATGGTGGTGTGGATTTATCTCCACAGGCGAGAGCATTATTCCAGCTGCTAAGCGTTAGCCCATTAAACCACCATCTGTGAGCAAACTTCTGCCTTCAGTTTCATCCATGAAACCCCACAGAAGGCAAAGGGCTTGCATGAGGCAGAATGCAGCTCGCTACGTTAAATCAATCAATCAATCCTAGAGCCATGCAAATAGCTGTGATTGTAGGTGTAAAACGTATGCCGGAGAAAGTGACACCTTGAACCTGGCTTCAGCTGCAGTATCTAGGACGGTGTTTGTATGGCCCTCACCCCCGTAGAATCGGAGTGAATCCAGGAAGTGTGCTGGCTACGGCTGGGAGAAATATTCAGTGAGAACGTTTTGGGTTTTTTTTTTCAATGACACTTGCATGTGGTAATGATGATGCTCCAGATTAGGGGGAAATAAAAAGAGATGATCCCATTCTGCAGGTGGCTGGTGACGACTAAGCACCACGCAAAAAAAATGCAGGAGTGAAGACGATATACACCAAGAAATTACTCAGATTCACGGTAACCCATACAGTTAGCTCAGCCTTTTATTTTACTTAGCAGTAACACGAGGAACCTACAGGCCTGTATCCTGTAAGACATTGGCTTAAGCAGGTTAGCATGAGTGAAGCATAGGCCTGTGACTAGGGTGACCAGAATAGCCCCAAAGTTACCCTAGATTTGGGGAACAGAGAATCGCTTGCTTAAGACGGGAGTTGGTACATAACAAGACTAGGCAACCGCAGGACTTTTGAACTGATGCTAGGCTTGGATATTTTTGGATAAAATTGTTGGCAGATGTTTAACCACCAACTTGCTTTAGCAACAGTTGACGTGTATGGTAATGAGCTAAAAGCCATTAGTACGTTAACTTGTAGGATAAAGGCACCCCAATATTATGAGGGTTAGGAAGTTAGATATGGACATGGGAGGCTGGGCATCTGAATGAGTATTCATAATAGTCCTCAGGCTCTGTAATAGGCCAGGCCACCATGTAAGCGGGTGGTGAGCTATCCTCATTGACTCTTCAGCTCTTCATTGTCATCATCTACCACCGACCTTCGGGCATTTGGGTCTGGACCATTGGACTCATTTGGCATGCCAGGGATGAGGCTGGTCCTTTGTCTCTTACCACTAGATCCCCAAGAAAGGGTGTGAGTATATGAGCACATGTAAGGAATGATACCAAAGATATTGCTGCTATTTGTGTATGTGGTTTGGAGCTTTCTTGTCTTTACTGGTTGTGTTACTAAAAGTGACTACGGCTTTGCTTAGCCCTCAGTGTGACACGCTTTGCCATGCACCCTGGGTTCCGACAAGATATTGATCTTGTTAGTTTTAATTCTGTTGTATCTGATTCTGGTTCTAGAACCCTATTAAATTACTATTCATTGGCAACCAATACAATTATCGAATCAGTCTACATAACACACAAAAGGACAACCATCTGTTTCCACTGGCACTCACCAGGGACTTCCAGAAACTAACACCTGTCTTCTCCCATCTCAGCGCAACTCCACTTCTACAATCACCTACAGGTCTTTTATAGCCCCTCCCCCATCAGCAGCAGGTTCTGTACCTCCCACAGGGCCACCCTCCCCTCTGGCCCATGTATTATCCTACATGATGGCTGTGAGTCAGTCACTTCCCCCTTAAGCAAATTTGTGCTCCGGAAGGCATGGGGAGGAGCTGTCTGTATTTAGGTCAGCCAGAGAGACTCCTCGGGGGCCTTCCTTTGAGCTGAGGAAATGTCTGCAAGGTTGCTCCAATTTTGCACTGTATGAAAGTGGTCTGATGAAATTTTGAGTAGACAGTTTCTCTTTTTCCACTATGTGGATGTTAGAAATCACTAGACAGATTGAATCCATGCACACACATGTGCAACTACATAAGTGCTGGATCCTGGAGCATGGCCCAATGCAAAGAGCACAAGTCATGGGGTGAGTGAGTGAAGGTGTCTTATTGCACTCTTTTGGTCTCTGTGACGTTCTGTGCAGGGCTGGTCTCTCAGTACTGTGTCAGGGCAGCCTGAGGGTTGCTCTAATTTATGTCAGCTGCAGTGTGTGGCTGTGGATTATAGATCGGTACCGGAGGATACTTATTGCCAGAGTCAGGCTGCTGGATTTAGGGGAGGGCGTAGGATTCTAGTCTCTGGTTGAGCTCCATCAGAGGATTCTTCCTTTAAGTTGGAGCTAAGGGGGTGACTTGCTGAACTCAGGCTATCCCATGCCCCTTAAGAATCAGAATCATAAAAATATAGGGCTGGAAGGGACCTCAAGAAGTCATCAAGTCCAGCCCCCTGCATTGAGGCAAGACCAAGTAAACCTAGACCATCCCTGACAGCTGTTTGTCCAACCTGTTCTTAACCTCCAGTGATGGGGATCCCACAACTTCCGTTGGAAGCTTATTCCACAGCTTAATTACCCTTAGAGTTAGAAAGATTTTCTTAATATCTAACCTATATCTCCCTTGCTGCAAACGAAGCCCGTTACTTCTTGTCCTACCTTCAGTGGACATGGAGAACAATTGATCATTGTCCTCTTTGTAACAGCCCTTCCCGTACTTGAAGAGTGTTAGCAGGTCTCCACCTCAATCTTCTTTTCTCAAGACTAAACATGCCCAGTTTTTAACCTTTCCTCAGCAGTCAGGTTTTCTAGGCCTTTACTGCTCCCCTTTGGACTCTCTCTAGCTCAGGCCTCACCAGTGCCGAGTATAGCAGGGCCGCACAGAGGATTCAGGGGACCTGGGGTCTTCGGTGGCGGAGGTCCTTTTGCTCCGGGTCTTCGGGGCACTTCGGCGGCGGGTCCCGGAGAGAGTGAAGGACCCGCCGCCAAAGACCCGGAGCAGAAGGAGCCCTCGCCGCCGAACTGCCACCAAAGACCTGGAGCGGAAGAAGCCCTCGCCACTGAACTGCTGCCGAAGACCCGGAGCGGAAGAAGCTCCAGGTCTTCGGCAGCAGGTCCTTAACTCGCTCCGGGTGTGTTCAGTGGTACTGAAGGACCCACCGAAAACTCGCGTGGAGGCCCCTGAAAACTCTCGTGGGGGCCCCTGCAGGACCCGGGGCCTGTGGGGGCCCCTGAAAACTCTCGTGGGGGCCCCTGCAGGACCCGGGACCTGGGGCAAATTGCCCCACTTGCCCCCCCCCCTCCGGGCAGCCCTGGAGTATAGTGGGACAATTGCCTCCGGTGTCTTTCATATGACACTCCTGTGAATACACCCCACAATGGTATTAGCTTTTTTCTCAACTGCATCACATTGTTGACTCTCATTCAATTTTTGATCCACTGTAACCCCAGATCCTTTCCAGCAGTACCGTCACTTAGCCAGTTCTTCCCCGTTTTGTAGTTGTGCGTTTGATTTTTCCTTCCTAAGTGAAGTACTTTGTTACTTATCTTCATTTCATTTCATATTGTTGATTTCAGACCAATTCTCCGATTTTTTTCCAGGTCATTTTGAATTCGAATCCTGTCCTCCAAAGGGATTACAAACCCCTCCCAGCTTGTGTCATCTGCAATTATCCACTCCATTATCCAAACCATTAATGAAAAGATGGACTAAGAGACTCCACCTTTTCAACAGCAGCCCCTCAACTTGAAAAAGGGGAGGGGGACAGAGGTACCTAGGATAAAATGGAAGGCAAAAACCCACACGCATTCCCAAGACAGCTGAGCCCCTATTCAGGGGGGTTTATTATCCCTTCAAAAAAGGGAAGGGGACTAGGAGGCAAGCCTGTGAGAAAACATCAGCTTTCTATCTTAGTGACTCCAAGGCAACAGACATGAAACCAAGAAGCAAAATGATCAGATTCAATCTTGAGAGCGCCAATGCTTTAACATTCCCCTCACTGCAAGCTGGACTGAACTGCTAAAAAGTCCTGACCAGCAGCCCTCCAGCCCCTCCCTGCTCTGTGTGTCTCTGGCTCCAGTTTAATTTAGAAAAAGCTTTTTTATGGCTTTGCGTTTTAAAAAAATCTCGAAGTCACTCGATCGATAAATCCTCTCCTTGGCTAAATAAACTTGGGGATATCAGTTAGCAGGAAAACTCTGGGTTATTCAGAGGCCCCTCGTTACAGCAGGGGCGATCGATACAAGAGGCACGTAAGTAGTCGCTCCTTTGTATTATTCATACCGGCATTGATTGGCTAGGAGAAAGATGGAATAATTCTCTGTGCAGCGTCGCCCCTCTCACAGGCTGTGCCCGTGATGCACTGCTGAACGTGAGTTACAGGTCCCCTCTCTGTGCCTGATCCATAGATAATGAGTCCACGACAGCCCAGCTAGGGAACCTGAGATTTTTTCAGCTCAAGCTGTAGCAGTTTATGGCTTTTAGATCTGGAGGTCCCCAATTCAATTTCTGGTGCGTCGGCCAAGACAGCAGTGGTTACATACCCTTGCCAAATATTTCATATTCCTACTAGGGATGGAGGAAGCCGTTCAAATCAACTAAGAATCCACCCAAGACTTGGACCACAGCAGCTGATATCTGGCAATGTCGGGAATCTCACAAAAGAGAGACTGTTCCCAGGAGTTGACCAGCCCAGGCTGTTAGCCAGAGGGATTAGGGCAGTGGTTCTCAAACTTGGGCTGCCGCTTGTTCAGAGA